GGTTTTTGTCGAAAAAAGAAGCCGAGCAACTCCAGAGGTACCAGAAAACCTACACCTAGATCCAACACGAATTCGTTGAGTCTAATAGCAAGCTGTGAGAACTCAACCCCAGTTGAGAGGAAATTTATTACCCTTAGCATTAATGGGCACCCTCTTAGATTGCAAATAGACACTGCATCTGATGTAACGATTCTCTCACGAAAATCTTGGATCAGAATGGGAAGACCACGCCTGGTGCCGACAACACAAAAACCGCGAACCGCATGTGGTAATTATCTACGTTTGTTGGGACAACTAGATTGTAAAGTGACTTTTCATGATTCGACGTTTACCGGATTATGTTACATTACACCAGCTGATCTTAATCTACTTGGGTTAGACTGGTATGACCGGCTACATTTAGCTGACGTCCCGTTAAGCACCGTATGCCATCTGGTTGAACAACCTCATGAACCTGAATCATATTCGAAAGAACCAATGACGGAGTTTTCGACCAGCGAACATCATACGGCCGGCGAAGATGCAGTTATTGCCTCCCTATTGACAGAGGACCGCGCACAGTGTCAGCAAGCAGCCAAGTGTAACGCGAAAATACTGCCGGTCCCATGGCCACAGCCTGAGTATCCCTGGTCCAGGATACATGTCGATTTCGCAGGCCCAATTAATGGAATTACCTATCTAGTCGTTGTTGACGCCTTTTCGAAATGGCCAGAAATCGTTCCCGTCGTGCCACCAACGACAACTCAAACGATACAACTTTTGACAGAGATGTTCTCTCGCAACGGGTTACCGGATATAATCGTTTCCGATAATGGTTCGCAATTCACCTCAAGTCAATTTCAAGAATTTTGCAAACGCCTATCGATCAAGCATTTCCGCTCTCCACCTTATCACCCACAGTCAAATGGACAAGCAGAAAGATTTGTAGATACATTCAAGAGAGCTCTAATGAAGTCGAAAGGGGAGGGGACGACAGTAGAAACACTGCAGAATTTCTTGTTTGTTTACCGAACAACACCTAGTGATATGCTACCACAGCAGAAGTCCCCGGCAGAGATCCTGATGGGAAGGAAATTGAGGACGATCCACAGTCTCATGTGCCCAAGAACCACACCACCACCATCCCATACCAAATCTCAGAAGCTTCCAGCGTACGAGGTTGGATGCCCCGTGTTCGCTCGAGACTACAGAGCAAATCATGGTCCTTGGATCGAAGCACGTGTGGTTGGAAGACTAGGTCAAGTTATGTACGAGGTAAAGGTGGGAAGAGACACGTGGACTAGACACCGAAACCAACTACGTAAGCGGATTGCCCCAGACCACCCATCAAATGCAGTAAATCTTCCCTTCGACATCTTGCTTGATACTTTCAACTTACCTACAGCCCCACCACAAGAAGCTCGACAGCAAGCTGATCCCCGTCCCAGAAGGTGGCCTCTCCGTCAGCGGCGAACTACAGTCAAGATGCAAGTCGACCCCAGAAAAGCGCGCTATTAAAAAGGGGAGGAGTGTTGGGGACGATAGATCCCCAAACTCATATTTTAAAATTTTATTGTATCGATCAACTTATTGATAAAATGTTTAAATATTTGTATTGGGGTCATTTGATGAACTGATCGATTAAATGTTTGTATAGCAGTCAGTTGATGAACCTATCAATTGGATGTGCAAGTAGGTCAATTGATGAACTATCGATTAATGTGCAAATAGGTCAATTTATGAACTCATTGATTAGTGTTTACAATTTTTCTATGACAATATCGATTGTAAATATTGTATAAATACGCGTGAGTTGTGTGTTTGACTTGACTTGTTCGCTACTGTTCGCTGCTGCTGCTTGCTTGCTTGCTCGCTCGTTTTCTGGTTGTATGCAGAATATATTTTCCATACCAAGCTTGGACTTCTCCTTCTAGATAGCGGGGCTGGGACGCGTCAATAGTTAGATTACTGGTCTTTGGTCACTGAGTATTGTTCTCGTTCGCAGTCTAAGTGAACCCGTGAAGCTTCAAACCTAACAGGAACGACCGTGGGCAGTGGTGGGCAACGAAAGCAAAAGAGATGGAAAAGGCGGCGACTATAGGGAACACAACACAACTTTACAGACTAATAAAAGAAACTGGAATTAATAAGTCAAGTGTAATTGAGATTATATCGGAAAAAGACGACACACTCATCTGCTCCCAGTCCAGACGTTTAGAACGATGGGCTGAACATTTCAAAGAACAGTTCAGCTGGCCTTCAGCTACTCTACAACTACCCTCCATTCCCAGACAGCGTGAATGGAACATTGAAGTAGGTTCCCCAACTCTTGCTGAAGTTCAAAAGGCTATAGATAATCTGAAACGAGGAAGGGCTGCTGGTCCAGATGGACTGGCTCCAGAAGTCTTTAAGGATGGTGGTCCAGTTTTAGCGGTTAGGTTGACTAATATTTTAGCTAAGATCTGGGAGTTAGACGTTATTCCATCTGACTGGTCGCCATCACTTATCGTCCCAATATATAAGAAAGGGTCAAAATCATCCTGTGACAACCACAGAGGGATTAGTTTAACTAATATAATATCTAAAATACTAGCCTCAATAATAATCAGACGCCTAACTAAGACTCGTGAACTGCAAACTCGAGAAAATCAGGCTGGCTTCAGACCTGGTCGTGGCTGCATCAATCACATATTCACCATTCGTCAGGTTCTAGAACACAAGCATGCTTACCGTTGTCCGACAATGGTGGTCTTTATTGACTTGAAAACAGCATTTGACTCTGTAGACCGCGAGATTCTATGGCAGTGTCTGTCATTGAAAGGCGTACCCCAGAAGTACATAAACGTTGTAAAGGCTCTTTACTCGAACACTACTAGTCGAGTCAGAGCTTATGGCGAACTGTTATCTGCTTTTGCAACCTCAACTGGTGTCCGCAAATGCTGTCCACTTTATCCATTTTCGTTTAACTTCACCATAGACCTACTGATGGAAATAACGCTGTCGTCGACTGAGTTTTCGGGTATTGATCTCCTTCCAGGAGGTCCACTTAACGACTTAGAATACGCAGATGACATAGTCCTGTTTGGTGAAGACGCTGACAAAATGCAGAGTCTTCTAGTAGCACTAAACAACAATGCCAGAATGTTTGGAATGCGCTTCTCTCCCTCTAAATGCAAGTTGTTGCTTCAGGACTGGTCTGCGTCAACACCTGAACTAAGGATAGGGAGTGAAGTGGTCGAACGCGTCGACAACTTCACTTATCTTGGAAGTCTGATCAGCCCTAATGGGTTGGTATCGGACGAAATCTCAGCACGGATTCGAAAAGCTCGTTTGGCTTTTGCCAACTTACGTCACCTTTGGTGAAGGCGAGATATTCGTCTATCAATAAAAGGACGAGTATACTGCGCGGCAGTTCGTTCCGTTTTACTTTACGGCAGCGAAACATGGTCTTTAAGAATAGAAGACACCCATAAGATACTAGTATTTGACCACAGAGGCCTTAGAAATATTACTGGCGTCTGTTGGGATGACCGGGTAAATAATAGTGAGGTACGACGCAGAGTATTAGGGAATTATGGTAAGTCAGTTGATGAGGTTGTGAATCATCATCGACTGAGATGGTTGGGCCACGTGTTACGTATGCCTGAACATCGTTTACCACGACGTGCAATGCTAACCGGTGTAAGGGATGGTTGGAAGAAAGTTAGGGTTGGCCAAACCAAAACGTGGAATCAGTGCTTGAAGTCACTAACTTCTAGTCTGAGCCATGTTGGTAGATGCAGACTACTTGGTTGGGGTCCGCGTGACTTTCGTAACCAATGGTTGGAGACTCTTGGTGACATGGCTCAGAATCGATCACAATGGCGTCGGTGTATACACTCCCTGTCTTCCCTCAAACTATGAGATTAAAATCGCTTCATATCCTTCTTTCTACGAACCAATTCTTTCTGCTTGTACTATATCTCTATATGCAATCTTTCTCCTATATATTACCACCTTTGACCTACCCACTCTTATGAATCCGGTGTTCATCTTGCTGTGCTAATGAGGTATGGCGAGTTGGACCGATGCACATATGTCCCCGGTCCTACGTTGTAGCTGACTGACTGACTAACGAGGTGGTTTTATCCGTTATGCTTACAAAACTCACATTATTTGAATTTCTAAAAAAGGTATATATAATATATGATCTTTGTTACTTTGAGTGATAAAGACTCAACAAAAATCACTGAATCATAGGTAGTATATTATAGCACCAGTTGGAAAGTTGTATGTACGATACATGGATGTCTTTTTATTGCACTGAAACCCCAGTTAATAATTCAATTAACCTCAAGTCAACATTATTTTATAATTCGCTAGTTTATGCTTTTGCCCTTTTACCAGTATTTATATTACTTGATGACAGATCACCAAGATACACAGATTTAACTAACAAGTTCCGATGTTTACCTCTATTGTCAACAGTTTTACCTAACATCACATGTAAACATTTTGATAAACATTGATATTGTTGATCTTCTGTTTTAGGCGTGTAATTGAAGGAAGTTTAACTCTGGATAAAATGGAAGAGGTCCAGACTCATTACGAACGTCCTGTGAAAGATATATGTATTGAAAATATCAGCGTTGTTAATCCCAACGACTTAGAGACTAAAATTGTCTAAAAAAGTCTCGAAAATACCAGACGGAGTATGCACACTTGTCACTATGATATATTAAAAATACAGCACTCATATATACCTTTATGACATTTTTTAATGATGTTAGCAAACTAACCGTCAAAGAAATAAGGTATAAAACAGAAGGAACCAAATAAAAAGTAATGATGAACAGCAAATTGATGATTCTTGTTCGGAAGTACAACTTATTGTAATTAAACTTTTCAAAAAAGAAAAGGTACTGTGATGAGATACGCTATACCGGAGTACAAAATGAGATAGTTATGAATAAATAAAAACCACTTTGTCCGCTTAGGTGTAAAAAGAACCACCTACAGAAACATAAACACATAACTACATATCATGGGTGAGATGAGTTTATTGTAGCAAATGACGAGTTCGCGTGTGTTGTCGCATGACGAGTGACCAGATATATGGTTAAGAAAAATATTAACACAATCAGAAATATCACAGTGATTAGAAGGAATTTGTTTTGAAGAACTCTAAAAGGGAGAGAAAATGAAAATAATCTAGAATCACAGATGAGGAGGAAGTACATAACCCAATGACAAATAACTAGACTGCTTACATATGAATTTTATGTCCTGAAGTGTATGTACGCTACTTATTTGATTTACACCATTTAATATTAAGCAGATGACTGTCAAATGCAGACTAGAAAAATTCAAAAAAAGAAAAATACTAACTATAAATGACTAACTTTTCTCTAATACAAGATAAGGAATGGAGCTACTACTGCAACGTTTCGTGTGATACTACTACCCAACTTTCTATGATTTGAACTAGGATTTAAGCATTGTAATTTGTTAACTGTTCTGATTGCTTTGTGCCTGTTGCTATTCTCTTAGCCTCAATCAGTAGTGATTTTCAAGATAAGGAAGTTGGCAAATAACGCTCGAATATTTTTAAACAAACAACATAATCCGCACAATAGTAATGATCCCTTACTGACATCCTAAACATGTACTTATTCATTTATTTTATAGTATGAGATAAGAGATTATGAAACTAAGATTATAATTGGTATGAAATATGTAGGCTCATGTATGTATAAACATTAAAAGGTTTGTTGAAGTATCATAACCCTTCCGCGTTAAAAAGGAACTAAGGGACATGGTATTAATTCCCTTGGAAACACCACAATAGATGCGGCAAATATATATAAATGTTTAAAGAGTTTTAAGTCTTAATGTAATGGAGCAGTAAAAAGGATCCATACAACGTGTTTTTCAACTCCCTATACACAATATAATATTCATACTTCATACTCAGTATCTGTTAAAACGTAGAACCTGGTAAGTAAATAACTATCTGTTTCACAAAAGTACTAAGTAACTATGGACAGTTCACATAGGTTTCGTTTTACATAACCTTGATAGCTTAGCACCATATTAGCAAAAACCTATTTCACTGCATTGCCTTTCAGTTTGCTCTCAAGAAGAATGGCCTCAGATTCCAGCTGTACAGAACTAAGTTCTATAACTGTACAAAGCTTCAATCTATGAGCTGGTGAAACAAAATGGACTAGGAAATATTACACATGATTTTATTTCTCTATCAAATCCCAAAAAAACTCTGGACCGTAAACGTGGATAATTTGTTATGGGTGACAAATTCATGCATTCGAAGAAAAACTGGTCAGTAAATAGGTTAAAGGCGCGTATGCCTATGACTTGTTGAAAATATAAGAAATGATAGTTACCTGCGAGTCATTACTGAAAGTATTCGAGAGCTCTTTTTCAGATCAGAATCTGCCTGACGAAGCTGTGAAAGTAAAGTGAAGGATAAAAAATAAGGTTTCACAATGCTTCTGATTAAATGGGCTGTAAAAAGCTACTTAATAGGATGAATTCGTAAAGATAGTATAACTTCTGACTACTAATCACTATTTAACATATATTTTCAATATTATTCGGGTAAAATGCACCGCAGTGTAAACTACCACGAAAATTCTGTTCTCTTGAGATTTCAATCAAATGTCTCCTTGTGTCAATAAATCCTCGTAGTACACAAGATCATTGAAGACAAAAGAAAGATAAAAGAGATCTTCAGATATATAAGACCAATGTTTCTTGAACTACAATACTAACCACTCATCTTAAATATTGAAGTAGTTAGATTCTTGTCACTTCCTTAAATGAGATGCGGGGCAACACGATTTCATCACCAGAAGTGTCTACATTACACCTACAGTTACGCTCTCGTTATGTTAAATGATTAAGAAGAAATAAAGGGTTATCAGTGTTGAGTTATTGACTAGGATGATTAAGTAGACTATGTTGACGTTAGGCTGGGACTGAGAACAAAGGATGTACACCATTAGGACATATTGGTAAGTGGCAACAGATAAGGCCTGATTCTGGTTATCCAGATACATCTTGTGATGTTGTAACACAGACAATACACCAATTTAATTTTTGACAAGAGATGTGAGTTATGCTTGACATGAAAGTCCGAGGTTTTTGGTAAATGTATACCATATATCCATCGATATATGATTAAGTAAACGTTATTTAACAGGTCGCTGAACAATAAACAGTATTAGTCAGTTATCAGAGATGCAGATACGAGAAAATTACGAATCCACTTCAAAATCATTGTGGTAATTGATTCATAGTTAACTCTTTTTACTACGAAAAATGTAATATTACTTAACTTTTATCAATCTCTTATTCACTTGTTTCGCTTTTAAAAAAATTCAGTTTAGACAAATACATATACTGCATTACAATTAATTGCTAAATTTTGACGGGAAGCAAACTGCTAGACGGGTCGATTATAATGATAATGGATAACGATAAAATATGATTAAAAACCGAATTAACTCACCCTGTCTCTACTTCTTTGAAGTTTTTCTCGTTGCTCGCTTAAGTCTTGTAGTATATGACCACCCACTTCTTCTGTTTCCAAGGCGACTCGCACACCATCTTCTAATTTGGTAGTAGTCCGAGATATTCGTTCAGTGTTACTCAGAAGTTGAGCTCTCATGTCTGTATCAAACAAAACCTCTTCGTGTAAATTGTCCTCATCATCGGAACCGCATGAATCCTTATGGTCAGGGCGCCGAACGGCATACCGCGGTCGCCGCTTGAAAAGGTAGATGAAATAACGCAAAGCAAAGTTGAATGGTACGTAAACATATTGCATATTACTTAAAGAGTCGTTTAGCTCAGCACTAAAATATAATATATGATAAATAACTGAAGTCTATAAGAAATGGAAAATAGTTCTTAATTCAATATACATTTCATACAATTTTCGGAAGATAATTTTAAGATATCGATTAACTTCGACTCAATTACTAACTTTTAACTATGTTTGAAAACCTATTTAATAGAAAACATAACCATGTTAGCGAATGTTATAAACGTATAGTTTACAGAAAGTCTAGCACTCGTATACATTCCAAAAAATTACTTGCATTAAATTTTTTTGTGAATGGTATACTAACCAGAATACATATTGTTGGGATATTCAGGAAAATATCAGAGAAATTATTATATTAAGTTTAATGCTATTCTTGGTCTTGGAGATGGTATTATTTACTTATTGGTCAGTACTTATTTCACGTGTCATTTTCCTACTGATTAATATTGTACAATGTTGTTTTCTATTTTATCGTACGGTGTGGTCTGCTTGATTAGTATATAAACAGAGTGTGCTTGAAATATAATGATTCATATATCCGAGGCTGAGACATGCGTTCTGGACTCAACTGCTGGGCTAGACAGGGAAGCGGGGACAATCAGAACCCTAGGTTGTTCTACATGTTTGCGCGTCTTTGGTCCGATCGATAAATTCGCTACCCTCTAATCAGCTGCCGTGTCACAGTTATAGCACATATGATTTTTGACTGTGTCGGTATACATACTATAGTCCAACGGTTTCATCAACTAAACCTTAAAATGACATTATAGCACAGAATCAGCCTGCTGAGTATGTATGAGAACGTAATTAAACGAAAGACGTGATCGAAAATTCTAAATTCAGCTGAAACATTTACCGAAAGTAACCACCACTTATCAAACTGGGTGTTTAGAACCAACTCTACAAGAGAAACCATGAGAAAGGAACAGGTCTAAGAAAAAGGAACATAAACCAATTTATAATAATTAGAATATTTGGTGATATGGGGATATACGTGATCAGTGGCACAATATATCAAGCAGTATGAAAACATCTGCAAACACGGTTTAGTCGGAGCATGTAACTGTTGTTAAACAGATATCTTTTATACAAAATAAAACGAACCCAGTTCGCTACAAACACAACCAAAGGAAATAATAAAGATCAATCTTGAAAAATATGGACTGTTTTTTGTGATGATGAATATGGGGCAAAGTGTGGGGAATAAGTTGACATAAGAAACAAGACGCTGGTTTATTATTCACAGCCTTTCTTACTCGCGGTCACTTTCAGCTTGCTCATATGTAATCATTATTTTCTATTTTATGGCGTGATACAGTCTGATCTACCTATTTATGAAATGTGTCTGAAACATACATAGTTGAAGCTGACCACTGATTTCTGGGTTTAATTACACGGTGAAAAGAAGCCAGATAGTGGTTAATCAGTCGGTCAGTCAGTCAGCTACAACGTAGGACCAGGTACATATGTGCATCGGTCCAGGTTGCCATACCGCATCAACACAACAAGATGAACACCAGATTCATAACAGTGGTTAGGTAAAAGGTGGTAATATATAAGAGAAAGATTGCATATAGAGATATAGTACAAGCAGAAAGAATTGGTTCGTAGAAAGAAGGATATGAAGCGATTTTAATCTCATAGTTTGAGGGAAGACAGGGAGTGTATACACCGACGCCATTGTGATCGATTCTGAGCCATGTCACCAAGAGTCTCCAACCATTGGTTACGATAGTCACGTGGACCCCAACCAAGTAGTCTGCATCTACCAACATGGCTCAGACTAGAAGTTAGTGACTTCAAGCACTGATTCCACGTTTTGGTTTGGCCGCCCCTAACTTTCTTCCAACCATTTCCAATTCCGGATAGCATTGCACGTCGTGGTAATCGGTGTTCAGGCATACGTAACACGTGGCCCAACCATCTCAGTCGATGAAGATTCATAACCTCATCAACTGATTTACCATCCTTTCCTAATACCCTGCGTGTAACCTCACTATTACTTACCCGGTTATCCCAGCAGACGCCAGCAATATTTCTAAGACATCTGTGGTCAAATACTAATAGCTTACGAGTGTCTTCTACTCTTAATGGCCATGTTTCGCTGCCGTAAATTAAGACAGAACGGACTGCCGCGCAGTATACTCGTCCTTTTATTGATAGACGGATATCTCGCCTTCGCCACAGGTGACGTAAGTTGGCAAAAGCCAAACGAGCTTTTCGAATCCGTGCTGAGATTTCGTCCGATACCAACCCATTGGGGCTGATCAGACTTCCAAGATAAGTGAAGTTGTCAACGCGTTCGACTACTTCACTCCCTATCCTTAGTTCAGGTGTTAACGCAGACCAGTCCTGAAGCAACAATTTGCATTTAGAGGGAGAGAAGCGCATTCCAAACATCCTGGCATTGTTGCTCAGTGCTACCAGAAGACTCTGCATTTTGTCAGCGTCTTCACCAAACAGGACTATGTCATCTGCGTATTCTAAGTCGATAAGTGGACCTCCTGGAAGGAGATCAATACCCGAGAACTCAGTCGACGAGAAAGTTATTTCCATCAGTAGATCTATGATGAAGTTAAACAAAAATGGGGAAAGTGGACAGCCTTGACGGACACCACTTGAGGTTGCAAAACTAGATGACAGTTCGCCATAAGCTCTCACTCGACTAGTAGTGTTCGAGTAAAGAGCCTTTACAACGTTTATGTACTTCTGGGGTACGCCTTTCAATGACAGACACTGCCACAGAATCTCGCGGTCTACCGAGTCAAATGCTGCTTTGAAGTCAAGAAAGACCACCATCGTCGGACGCCGATAAGTATGCCTATGTTCTAGAACCTGACGAATGGTGAATATGTGGTCGATGCAGCCACGACCAGGTCTGAAGCCAGCTTGATTTTCTCGTGTTTGCAGTTCACGAGTTTTAGTTAGGCGTCTGATTATTATTGAGGCTAGTATTTTAGATATTATATTAGTTAAACTAATCCCTCTGTGGTTGTCACAGGATGATTTTGACCCTTTCTTATATATTGGGACGATAAGTGATGGCGACCAGTCAGATGGAATAACGTCTAACTCCCAGATCTTAGCTAAAATATTAGTCAACCTAACCGCTAAAACTGGACCACCATCCTTAAAGACTTCTGGAGCCAGTCCATCTGGACCAGCAGCCCTTCCTCGTTTCAGATTATCTATAGCCTTTTGAACTTCAGCAAGAGTTGGGGAACCTACTTCAATGTTCCATTCACGCTGTCTGGGAATGGAGGGTAGTTGTAGAGTAGCTGAAGGCCAGCTGAACTGTTCTTTGAAATGTTCAGCCCATCGTTCTAAACGTCTGGACTGGGAGCAGATGAGTGTGTCGTCTTTTTCCGATATAATCTCACTTATACTTGACTTATTAATTCCAGTTTCTTTTATTAGTCTGTAAAGTTGTGTTGTGTTCCCTATAGTCGCCGCCTTTTCCATCTCTTTTGCTTTCGTTGCCCACCACTGCTCACGGTCGTTTCTTAGACTTTTTCTTAACCTAGATCTGATTTGTTGTCGCTCTTTATCATGTTCGGAACCTGATAGGACGAATTTGCGAGAATCCATCAGTGTGATAGACTTTGAAGAAATCCACTGGTTCTTTGAAACTCTGTGGTTTAAGTTGCTAATAGATGTCACTGCTGCTTCTACAGCTGCTTGTATGAGTTTCCAAGCAACATCTGGGTCAGCCTCGTCTTCAGAACTACCTAAGTGTGACCTCAGTTGTTCTTGGAACCTATTTCTGGTTTTCTCGTTACTCAATTCAGTTCTAATGGGTCTTTTTAATGTGGCTTTTTTGCGTCCGGTGAGGCGCAAGCAGATGCGTGCCCGTATTAGGGCGTGGTCGGAGTCAAAGCAGGTACTCCAGAATGAGCGACAATCTTCTACCGACCCTCTCCAACGATGACTGATGGCAATATGGTCTATTTGAGTCCATCGTTGGTTTGGTGTAGGGGGTCGCCATGTTAGACGATGTCTCTCCTTATGCTTAAAATTTCTGTTTGCTAAAAATAAGCGATTGTCTGAGCAGCAGACGGTCACCATTATCTGTTCGTTGTGCCGGAATGCTAAAATATCCACCTAAATGCCTTTCTGTTTGGTTTAAGCTACCTATCTGAGCATTAAAGTCACCCCCTACGAGTACTATGTCTGAGTGTTTAGCTTTCTGAAGAAGTTCAGAGAGCTTTCTGTAAAATTCATCCTTCACTTCATCTGAGCTGCAGTCAGTGGGAGCGTAGGCAGAAACGACAAAAAGGCAACGACGTGTGTCCCTATTCTTCCGAGTTCTTACGGAGCCGTTTAGCCGAACAGCACATAGACGACTGTTGACGGGGATCCACTCTAGCAGTGCTTGTTCCGCCCTCATGCTTAGTGTTATGCCTACACCTGCCAGTCCACGAGAGCTGGCCATCGGGTCACCAGATACACGTAGGGTGTATCTCGTTGGCTCTCCGTTTTGCTGAGGTGAGGTAAAGTGAATGACCACACTGGAATCCTGTATTCGTGTTTCGGAGACACAGCATACATCGATGGAAAGAGACTCTAGGGTTTTAGCCAAGGAAGCCTGCTGACCGGTTTGACATAGAGTGCGTACGTTGAAAGCTCCAATGTGTAGTTTGGAGCGAGGTTTCAGTAGACCTGGGACAGAGTTTTGAGCACTAAAATCGTTGGCTATGGTGACACTTGAGGAAGAAGCCGAAGGAGGAGGTTTAGGATTGAAAGTCGATGTAGGAGGAATAATTGGAATTGAATAGGAAGGTTGATTATGAATACAGTGGTCTTGGGTGCTGTTAGAGGTATGAGGGCGGTTATCACTTCCCGGTTGCCCACACCGTGGAAGGGTTTTTCTGGAGGTACCTGAAAAGGAAATTGGATTAGAGGCGGTCTCAGCGACCTGAGAGCGTGACCGCAGTGCCCAAGGGACAACTGCTTGAGGCCGGTCGCGCACGGCCTTTTTGTGGAAGGTTTTTGACATGTTAGCTCCGTTCTTCAAAGAGCCTTACCGCCGGAGACGGAAATCCGTGAGGTAAGGCGAGGTGTGCATTTTTAGGGTCGATCTTTTCTAACCCCACCCCTCCTTGTGGGAAGGCAGCATCGCTGTCATGCTGGTTGTCTGAAGGAAACACCTTACTGCTGTCACACCTCTGTGGTTAATCAATAAGAACTTAGCAGTTGACTCAAGGTCATTAGTACTGAACGGATTTCAACTGGTCTTTTTTGTCACACGAAGTTAGCGTCCATAAGTTATAAACACTTCCATCTAGTATGGTATTTCATAACTTTAGTACCTATTACTTTTTTCACCATCCTAGCGTCCTCAAACAATAAACAATATGGAGACGCTGAGTTATACGTTAGACATCACTAAACCAAAGACAACAGTGTTCTAAGACTTTTCCCACTCCTTAGACATACATTACAGAACTTCAGAATTACAAACACGACGTTAACTTGGATACAACTAATACTTATGAGGTAATAATGATAGAACACAGAGAGTACTCAAAAATCCTTGGTTTGGAGACTAGACTTAAAATTCAATTAATACAACTGTCTAGACCCCACACTTGTGCACTTGGTCTCCTGTGACTAGAAAAACTTTACGGTGGACCCTTAGTTAGGTCTTATGGATACAAATAGTTCTGATTTTGGCTGCATGCAAACTGATTCCGTCTGCCACTATAATCAGTACTTACAAGCTACCCATTTACACGAACTTGAGAATATCTTTAGTATCTTGTTAAAGGTTGTGAGCACTGCAACGGGTTCCTTTCAGTCTTTTAGAAGTACTTCACATTTTGACAATTTAAAGTTTATGTTTTTCATTATATCCATGTACTGGGACTGATGCGGTTGCAAGATGAGAGGTGCAGTATCTTTATGCTTAATATTGCACAAATACGTAACAACTTATACGAAAGATACATAGTGGTGGTAAATATGAGGTATTCAGTTATACAGCTAAGCCGAAGCATCGGTCAATAACTGAATACATAAACCACAGATATTTCGATAATTAATTACTCGACTGTCTCATCAAACTAGTCAGTCAACAAAGAACAACAAGCCGAAAGCATGAAAAGCAATTTTAGGAACATAGTAAAATTAGAAATTTTTTCACTTTACAAGCAATACCATGAATCGCATATTATACACTATTGATCTGTGTGTAAAGACAAGGACTACATAAGCCTGATAGATAACTCTGGAACATGGTCTTAGCCAATGGTTGTAAATTATTCAAGAATGATTATTGTCATCGCTCCGTATAGCATATGGAAGGTAGCTGGGATAAGTCAAACTATTGAATGATCTCAGTTATACTGCAGAAAAGATTAGATAAATGGGTGAGACTCCAATTGATGGACGAGCCAATCAGAAGTGTGAGATTTGAAGGTTACGGTGCCAACTTCAGTGCTTAATGCTAACATACGATCAACTCACAGGGAATTTTGTACAAAACGTGACAATTGAGTGGCTATAACATATAAAACGGCGAGACTGTAATTTCTGGATGAGTCAACCAGGTATAAGATAACAGATCTTGGATTTTGGCGGGAAAGCCTTTCATCCATTTGGCTAAATAAATTTCTGGCATTATAGCTGATGTCAGTTCGTGATGAAAACCCTGTATATAATTCCTAACCAAGGCAAATTATAATTCACACATAAGAAGTGTATCCACTTTTTTCTCTTGCTTTTTTATCATATATATATGCACTAAATCACATGTGATTTACCAACTGCCTGCAAGCAGTCTATAAGATTTTTTCATCCAGGTGCTTCTGGTTTTCCCGACTTCATGGTGATAATTACATTTTATATGTGAAATTCGTTCGGGAAAAACTATTTCTTGAAGGTTGAGAGAAGCATACTTCCTGAGAAGTTATACAAGTCAAACAATTTACAATCATTATTTCTTGACAAAAGCGGTAGGACTCTAATTTATGGACGAGCCAATCAGAGGCGTTTAAGGAGCTTCAAGGTCACGGCGCTAAGTTTAATGCGAGATGCTCACATTCGATCGTTTTACAGCAGATTTTAGAGAAGAGGTGATTGTTGAGAGACTACAGCAGATGGGACTATTGAGAAGTTCCTGTGTTTGTGACTGCGGCAATCAAATGACCGCAACACGATGTGCTGACTACCGTGATGACATTGTATTTCGTTGTACTTTATGTTGGAGAAAAAAATCTGCTCGAACTGGCACTTTTTTTGCCCGGTCACGGCTAAGGCTAAGACAAATCATGATAATCGTTGCAAATTGGATCATAAAGTCTCCAGTAACATTATCTGCGGCTTTTGCAGATGTTACGGAAACTTCCGCCGTTCAGTGGTATGAATATTGTCGTGATATATGCGCAATGAAAATGACACAAGTACATGAATCATTTGATCCAACGACTGGGGTCCATACAAACAATATTGAAGGCATGTTGTCAAGGCTGAAGTATTTTTTAAGACCTTACCACGGCTCCAGAGGACGATTACTATGGAGCTATATGGACGAGTTCTTATACCGCATGCACTATGATTTCAAAACTTCCGAACCTTTATCAAACCTCAACAAGTTCTTAAATCATGTAAAAGAAGAATATCCATTGTAATTCATCAGTTTTTTATAATATATTTTTACATTATACTAACTCTCTTCTGATTGGCTAATGTTCTCAAGGTCACTTAAAAATTCGTTCAAAGGTCGTCCATAAAATAGAGTTTCACCACAAAAGCATATAGAACCATTATGTAAATCGCAGGATGTCTATCAATTAATGCTCGTCAATAAGCGACTGTTCACAATAGATCTTTTGAACACAATTTGCGTGCAGATATAAATTTTTATTTATTACTAACTCCATAATGAATAAACCTAAGAATATATTGTACAGTATACTTTTGTACGTACAGGAGTAGGCACAATAATACTGAAGCAGAACTACATAAAATATAGAGAACCAAGGGCCAAATGAGAAATAAAATAAGGAAAAGGCAGAAAATGTTGAAAAATATTTATGTATTAGAAAAATGCTTACGAATTCTGTCGTGAGTTTTCCTAATTCTTTTCGATAACACTCAAGCCGATTTTGAAATTTGGGACGGATGTCAGATCGCATTTCCTGAACTTCCAGAGACATTTGTTCAATTAACTCCTTCGTCTCGTCAAAAAGTATTGACACATCATGTACTTCTTTCGCCCTTTCACCTGATACAGTAGATAAAGTTAGTGGTTTAGCAATTAATAGTCCAAAATGTTTCACAGAACATACCACCACTTAACTGGGGAATTTTCCCTAGCTTGAATGTTATATCGCTAGTCAGATTTCCATACTGTTTCTCATAAGACTCGAACAGTGACATCGTCCTTGATGTGAATTTCGCGCAAAGGTCACGACAGCTTCAAACTGAGTGTCGCTGTTGCACATAAGAAGTTGTCACATTCAGGAACATCATAACACGAGGAATCTCAATAAATAACACTATTGGCCCAAATGTTTTTATCTATTTAGGCAGTGGTTCAGATGGAAGCACAGGACATTGAAGATTAAGGTCCGAGATATGTGAATTTATCTGCAACGCAACCATGTAAACTTAATGTATCGCCGAGGGTCATCTGTGCGTTCAAACAACCACATATTTTGTTATTTCATAATGTATTTTTAATTAAATAACTACTTTATGTTGTTAATTTTGCTCTGTTTCTAATTCTTATTCGCCACGTTTGACTGCGTTACACTAAACTTTCACTGCACACTGGGATGTTATCCCAAGTCATAGTGAGTTTAATCACATAGTTGTTTGTTTCCAGATAGACCGTCAGTGCATAATGTTACTGAAGAAAGGTTTGTTGTACTGTAAACTATGTTTCTACGAACAACTGACTGTTGTCTTAAGTCGGAAAGCATCTATCACTCACCATATTTCATGATCATTGTCATTAAACAATTTCCCCAGCAATAACATCGGTAGCAAGATAGCTCAGTATGTGAGCTTTCATTTTCCTGCAAAACAGCAGTATACAGTCTTAGAAGATAAGTGTTCTGTGTCACAATTAAATGCAGCTGGCTGTGGACAAATGTTAAGAATCTTTTTGACAACTGGGACTTTTAGTTTATCAGACACTAACTCTGATTGTATGTCTTCCTGTTAAACTAGACACATGAGAATACTTAAATGGGAGCAAAATAATAAAAGCATTGCAATACGGTACTAAGCCCATGTTATGCTTTGCACAAGTAATAGTAGCTGGCCTGATCTAATATTCATGAACTCAAGTTAAATCACAACTACACAAATTCTTTGCTAAAAAACATGTAATTTGGTTATTTATCTGTTCCACATTTCTGACTAAATTCATCGCTATTTTTTCATTTAGAATGCAACAGGAGTGAGCCTTCACAGATCCTAAAAACGGTCTCGCCCTTAGAACTATGGCCTTATGGAACTGTTTATGGGAGACCCAACTAACAGCATATTATAAAAAGCATGTTGGACGTCCATTTTAGTCTCACAACCACTTCCAATATTTTTTGACTTCTACTCTTTCGTTTGGAAAAAAACAATCAAAACTTAACAAAGCTTAACATTGGCAATACAACTTTTAAACGGGAACTTGGTTTAAACCTTTGTTTGATATTTGATTCTTAATGAAAGTTTTTGAATAAATTATTGAATCTAATGCTATTTTGTTTTATCTACTTAATCGTTGCAAGAAACTTGTGATAAACGAGCCTCCCAGCACCTAGTTTATTTGTTCAAATGGTTGTGGACTGAATAGAAGCTTTCGCTTAACAGGCTTCCGTGTCTAGTAACAGGGGATCACCGAATCCTCCAGACAGGAACCTAGGTATGTTAACAATAAACAGGAAAAAGAAATTGGTAAATCATAGTATGAAACTATCCTTAATCCTTAAGAATAGATCCAGTTGCCTCTTAAAGGACTACTGGGAAGTCGCTTTGACTAGCTCGGCCGGCAGCGAATTCCAGCATTTGACAACTCTTAAGGAGTAGAAGTTGTGTCTACAATACTGAAATCCCCTACTGCTAGGCACTAAGTATTAGTTTGACTCGTTGGTGGGATAGTGTTGTCCATAATACTGAAGAAAATTAAAAACCGGAGATTGTTTTCTTTCATTTTGCCGATAACATCATAAAGGACAGTTAGGAACGAACATGCGGACAGTTAGTCACAGGCGGCAGCAACAATTATTTAAGCTAAAGAAACGAACTTCGGCTTTGGATATCTAGAAAACAAGTCAATACAAAATTCATTACCATTTTAAAACATAAGACTATCCGGGTTGGCTGAAGAAATACATTGACTTGAGTAGAAGCAGCAAAAACTCAAAAAACAATGCTGATTCGAAGTAAATCTCACACCAACATATGGAACATTACACTAACTGCGGCATTTTAGCACACTAAAACATTAAATTACATAGCTACACAAGAGGAATAGCTGGAAAAAAGCACAGAACGAAGAAAGCCGACCGCCATTGCTTACAAAGACGACGGATATAATAATTCCCGCCTCATTCTGATTGGTTGCTAAGCTGAAGGGCACATTTAAGAAATTGAGTTGCGTTTACTTGCAGCCTCCGAGATGTTTTTACATAGTCACTATGTCATTGGTAAATGAGAAGACCGCCGGTGCAGTGAGCACTTGGTGGACTAGTCAATAAGCGATACAAACCAATTGTGGAACTGACGAGTGCATTAGCATAGATTACCTTAAAATCACTTACCTACAAAGAAACTATAATTATGTTGACTTCCGTCCTGAGCAATAGAACGACAGAAACTCCATGACTACAATGCCATAGCTAATAATTGTCGACAACAGATAAACTTTTCTGACATCCGACCCAAAACAACGTTCTCTAGAAGAAGAGTAAGTTTTCTAGAACGCTTTGTTAGCTAGGTCCACAACTAACAAATAGAATCGTTACTTAAACTCCCGCCACGTCATCTCATCTGATGTGTCTGTAGACTATCCCTGATGCATGTGACCTTCCAAGTGAAAGACATTACTGTACTATTATATGACCTATAATTTTTAATCATTTCGATAAGACACGCAATAATAATAATTTATTCTCAAATAACAGTTTGTTACATGAGGCATGCCAGTTTACAGGCAAGATCAAATTGATACAAATGATACAATATACACTGTAATAAATTACAAAGCTGGGTTGATAATTTATAAGATATGCATGTCGATGGTTTGAATCAGTACCACAGTTGGCGCGCTTCATGAAAGTTGCGTTGCGAATGTGCGACTGATGGTCAAGGATGGGTCCATTGAAGGTATGGGCTTCTAGAAATCGCAACCTTATGTCCCTTTGGGATATCCAAGGCTTTAAGGATAGTGCAGGATGAAGTCACCCGTTCCATATCTCATTTAATTACGTCTTATGTTATTTTCAGCCTGCTAACAAGAAATACGTCATTGTTGACGTCTTGAGCAAAAAACAACTAATGGTAGCACACAAAGATTGGATCGTAGGAAAGGAACTGTGCGCTTTTCCGAAAGAGCATGTCGATTTACATCTTCAGAAGAGCGACCAACCGAATGAAAATTGGTCATTTATGAAATGTAAAGTGATTCACGAATTAGGTACGTTACATACACAGGATGGATAATTCACCATAGATTCTCTCCAGTCGGCAAAAGATCTGTTAGTTGCCCTACAGATACTGGAGTCTAAACGGAAAAACACCTCAATGGATGAAAACACTTTGCCACTGAACACTGAAAAGCCAAAAAGGTCTGTACAATAATCTTACTAACATTTCGTAGAGGTGTAATGAAGCGTAAAGAAGATTTTCTTTACAATTCAGTAGACATGGATGTTGCTGAGATGCAGTCTAGGAATGTGCCCGTACAATATCCAAAATTCCGTGTTTTCGAGAAATTAATATCGCCAATCGCCAAGTACGTTTAATTAGTATTTAGATATTCACGAATTAGTTCAACACATTTGGAGACATCACCTTCGACATCGGAATGTAAGCATGTTGGCGGCGCTATAGTGGACAAGTAAGTTACCTGCATCATGTAGTGACCTTTTTCGGCAGTGAAAGGTTGTATGCACTGGTGCTGAACATGTCGTCAGCTATCAATGAACTGACAAAAACAATTAACAACATGTCGTCCGCCATTACTGACTTGAATGTTAATGTGAACCAACTGCTATCGAATTTTCGTGAAAGCGAAAAACCACATCAATTCGATTGCGGACTGTCCAGTCAGCAGTTTCCTTTGTCATCTGAAGAGGAACTGCAGATGCTTGATACCGGCTTGTCGCAGAAAGAAACGAGGGACAGATTTGTAAGTCATTAACATAAATTTAATTATTTGTGACGATTACAGATGGCAATGGTCACTAGGCTATCAAGTGACGACCCAAAAGCGTCCATGCGGTTTGTTTTGTCTTATCTGTTGACACCTGAGGTTGCCAGTAAATTCACGTTACTTGGCACCTCTTCAAAACGAGCACTGCAGAAATGCACGTTTTACGGCTGCATACGAAGTAACATTTATCTATTACTTAAACTTCAGGTGCTTTGACTCATCGGTTTTTGTCATCCTCTGTCAACGAAAAAGACCTTGGTAAGCTCTACGACATCGCGACCCAAGGTTACTTTCACGACATCCGAGACAAGATGATAAAACGTTCTAGGAGAAAAGATAACCAGGTATGTACAGATTTAAAGTGATAACCTCCCTACGGCTCTATAGTTACAGTCGACAATATTAACGAACATCACCGTAAGTTCAGCTTCAAGTATTTGGGTGTGCTAAAGCACATCATTGAGATATGGTTGTGACTTTTTTTTTTATTCAGAATTCACAGGACGACTACCGCAATTCCGAATAGTCCGTGCAATGGTTTTGATGTTCTACGTAGATGTCAATAAACATTTTTCTTTCAAACAGCTTACTTTTTTACTTACTTGGGAAACTGTTGAGAATGTGTTTGAGTTTGAGTGAATTTTCGATTAAATGGACATTGCTTATAAATAAAACAAAAACTGTTACTTCTTTTTCAGATAATTGTCTATGAAAATGAATTAGCAATTGCATTGGATATGCATAACAATAGATGCCTAAGCTTGTGCTATACTGTTGTACAATTATAGGTTTTTCTTTTTAAATACAATATTTAAAAAATTTACCGCTTTTAAACTGCATTGCAGAAATATATTTGTGTGTTGTTGGAAATGAAGGCGAATGCAGGAGACCTTTGGTCTTCTGTCGATGGATAGAAAATGGGGTGTAATGTGTGTATTTAGGCGTATATGCGACTAATCAGCGGATATTTAGGCGAAAATTCGGCGGATATTTAGGCGAAAAC